CGCTCAGTTTTGGACTGAGTGAAATTAAAAAAAGGGTATTACCTATTCTATTACAATACCCAACCTCACATTTTGTCCTTACGTACTGATACACCATGGAAGGAAAATGCTAGACTAGTGTAAGAGCATAAACATTTTCAATTGCCTCTTTATATGTTCCATATATGTTTTTGGAAGTGGACTACGAGTCGACAATAACTTTTAGTCAACCTCTGTTTTCTTCCTGCTTGCATCAGTGACTACAGCTCTTTAGGGTTTATCCACTGTTTAGTGACTCATGCTCATATGTTTACTTTGATTGTAGTTCTATTTAGCTGCTCTCATTGACAAACAGTATCAATTTGTCTTTTCAGAAACTCGATAGCTTTATGGAGATGGCATTTGGAGGGCGCTACGTAATTCTTTTGATGGCATTATTTTCAATCTATTGCGGATTGATATATAATGAGTTCTTCTCTGTTCCATTTCACATTTTTGGTGATTCTGCTTATAAGTGTCGTGATTCTACTTGCAGGTATGTGAAGGTTCTTTCTAATTTATTTAGAAGGCATTGTGACGTATATAATTAAGCACTCACTATTTGTGCTCTCTGGCAATGTAATGAACCAACAAGTTGGTTCTTTGCACAAGGGGCTGGAATACATCATATTCCCTGCAAGAATTTCTCAAACATAGCTGGTTGTCTATTTACTAAGTGAGCATTAAAGACTATTGGAGATGCGAGAATTTATGAAACTATTAATTCTAGTATGCAGCAGTACAAATATTAGTGCATTTATTGCATATAGTTCAAAAGATAACTTTAATTTTGGAATAGAAGGTAAACATTGGAAGTTCTACATAGCAGTTTCTCTCATCCAAGCAGCCATTCAACAACAATACATCAAGGACATATTGTATCCCCACTGCACCGTCTCACTATTTACATATGATTTCTCTGTTCTAATTTTCAACCGCATCAATCTTCGGCCTGTCCATTGAGTTTTCTTCTGAAAACAACTTTCCTCCCGTCATCCCTTTCTTTTGCATTTACTATTAACGAAAATCAGCTGTCAACATGTTAAATATAGGCCATTTCTAACTTTCATTTGTCCAATGAATACCTTTTTAGAATTGTTGAAATCTTGGTTTTACTTTTGAAATTTTTGAGGATGTAATTTTACTTATGTGCTTCTCCAGTGATGCATACACTGCTGGTCTTGTAAAGTATCGAGATCCATACAAGTTTGGTGTGGACCCTAGCTGGCGAGGAAGTCGCTCTGAGCTCCCATTTCTTAACTCCCTTAAAATGAAGATGTCTATACTATTTGGTCTAACTCAGATGAACTTAGGGATCATATTAAGTTATTTTGATGCCAAGTTTTATGGGAACTCTCTTGATATACGGTATGACCTATCCTAGCTCTTATACCTCTTTGTGAATACTGGATGTTGAAAAATGCATTTTCTTTCAGGCATCAGTTCATACCTCAGATGATCTTCCTCAATAGCTTGTTTGGCTATCTTGCACTCTTAATCATCATTAAGTGGTGCACAGGTTCTCAAGCTGATTTATATCATGTCATGATATACATGTTCCTGAGCCCTATGGATGATCTTGGTGAAAACCAGCTATTTTGGGGTCAGAAATTTCTGCAGGTAAACACATCCCTTTGCACTTAGTTTAGTTTCCTTTGTTGTTTAAGCTTTTCCACATTTTCTGCAGATTGTCTTATTGCTTCTAGCTGTCGTGGCGGTTCCGTGGATGCTATTTCCAAAACCTTTCATCTTAAAAAAACTTCATACAGAGGTATAATTTGGTTCTTTCAGTTATTATTTCACTTGACTGCATTTTCTAACATTTTGGGGGGCAACATGCTTGTTTTCTTCAATACTTTCTCTAAGACAATGAGATGTTAGGAATTTTATCTAGCAAGATGGGACCATGATATTGCTACAATATAAACAAACTACTAAACTTGAATCAACCATGATCTGAGATAACAATCAAAATCAATAATAAAGATCCAGAAAACCGTCATAATACCCTGAAATCATCTTAATGCAAATTGCAGCTGGCACCACCTGTGAATGATGTTCACCTTGAGTTAATGTCTACATCTTGCCAGCAAGGAAACTGCAGAGATCTTCTTAGGGAGAGAAAACTTACCTGCACAAAAAGCTTCAAATAATAGAATTGAATATCAAATTTACATCTGACTTCACTTTAAAAATCTAATACTTCTCTTGGTCCAAGCAACTCACACTAAAAGTTCTATTTTCTTCTTAGAAATAGCAGTTCTATGAAGGAAAAAGAGTGGTATTACCATAACCTTCTTGTAGCTGTCTAGCATTAGTTTTTTTCGTTTCCACGCAATCTCTTCAGTAAGTGAATTATATACATGATCCATAAGCAAATATCGAGAGAACTTAATACATTTTAAAGATAAGATAATGAAATAAGATATCTGGAACATAGATAATGAGACTAATATTATGTGAAATAACATGTTTTCTTGTATTAGTAAAGTGGCTAAAGATATACTAGGAGAATTTAAAGGTTGTAGATTAGACGATAAGGAGAGTTGGTGGTGGAATGAGAGTGTGCAAAAAGTTATTAGATTGAAGAAAACTTTTATATAAAGAGTGGCAAAAGTGTATGAGTAGAGAAAACTTAGAAAAATGTAAACTAGTAAGGAATGAAGCAAAAAGAGTGGTTAGTGAGAATAAATACATGGTTTATGAAAATTTTTATAAGAACTTAGAATTTAAGGAGGGAGAAAAGATATATAACCTTTCTAAGATTAGAGACAGGAAGAGTAGGGATTTTGGTAATATTAGGTATATTAAAAGTGAGGATCAAAGAGTTCTAGTGACCGACGGGGAAATAAAAGAGAGGTGGAGGGGTTACTTTTATCAATTGTTTAATGATAACCAAACAAGTGAGCAAA